ACCTGTAATCCCAACATTTTGGGAGGCAGAGGAGAGAGGACTGCCTGAGCCCAGCGGTTCTAGACTGGCCTGGGCAACTTGGTGAGACCTCGTATCTAAATAGCTGGGCGTGGTGGCATGCAACTGTGGTTCCAGCTACTTGAAAGGCCGAGGCAGAAGGATCACCTGACCCCAGCCGATCAAGGCTGTGGTGGCTGTGAGTATGCCTCTGCACTCCAACCTAAGCAACAGAGTGAGACTCGACATACATACATACATACATAAATGGAGCTATTATGCAGAGGTACTATAGGGATTAACTAATATTGTTATTATTATCATAGTTATACTTGTTATTTCCACCCAATATTCCCCTTTGCCTATCTTTTCTAATCATGGGCCAAGATGTTTCTTCTTCACAAGTGAAATGCAAGCATCACCCCAAATGCTCACTAGCTTTTTACCAGCCACATGTTGCCATTTCTAGATTCACGCCACTCTCATCAAGTGATTTTTCTACCTTCATTACCCAGATGCCAGATAACCTCTTACTGTAACCTGCTCCTCACCAGCTTTCTTCCCTCCTACACCTATTCTCAGTGTTCTTAATCAAGGTCCAAAGAGATAGAAAAACGCCAGGGCAACATAGATAGTTGGTAACCAAGTACTAATTGATGCCCATTTATCAATGCAACCAAGTTCAGTTACATTGCATTGCAACATCTGAATCACATTATATATTCACGTTTAAGCTTCCTAGAAATGATTTTAAATCTGAGGTTAGCTTCCCTTAACACCAAGTCATCTCTTAGATGCTTTCCTTACTAATTAGTTTATTACCATAAAATATGAACTACAATTGACCCTTGAACAAGGGGTTGAGCTGCATGGGTCAACTTATATGTGAATCTTTTTCAATAAAAGTTACACTAAGTGTTCCTGCCTCTCCTGCCGCCCCTTCCACGACTTCTTCCTCCTCTGCCACTTTTGAGACAGCAAGACCAACCTCCCTCTCCCTCCCAGCCTAGTCAATGTGAAGATGACAGGATGAAGGTTTTCTTTCTTTTTTTGAGACAGGGTCTCACTCTGTTGCCCAGGCTAGAGTGCTGTGGTACAATCACAGCTCCCTGCAACCTCGAATTCCTGAACTCATGCAATCCTCCCACCTCAGCCTCCTGAGTAGCTGGGAGGATTGCATGAAGCATGCTACCACGTCTGGCTAAATTTTTTAATTTTTTTGTAAAGACAAGGTCTTGCTATGTGGCCTAAGCTGGTCTCAAACTTCTGACTTCAAGTGATCTTCCCACCTCGGCCACCCAAAGCACTAGGATTAACGCATGAATCACCGTACCAGCCGAAGATAAAGACTTTTATGATGACCAATTTTCACTTAATGAACAATAAATATATCTTCTCTTATAATTTTTTTTTTGAGTCAGAGTCTCACCCTGTCGACCAGGCTGGAATGCAGTGGCATGCTCACAGCCACCGCAGCCCTGACCTGCTAGGCTCAGGCGATCCTTTTGCCTCAGTCTTCCAAGTAGGTTCAGGCGATCCTTCTGCCTTGGTCTTCCAAGTAGCTGAAACTACAGGCATTTGCCACCGTATATGGTTAATTTTTCTTGATTTATTGTAGAGAGAAGATCTCACCAAGTTACTCAGGCTGGTCTTGAACCCCTAGGCTCAGGCAAAATAGAGTACATAATACATATAAGGTACAAAATATGTGTTAACTGTTTATGTTATCAGAAACATTTCAAAAGACAGTAGCTAAGTTTTGGGGGAATCAAAAATTATACTTGAATTTTTTACTGCGTTTGGGGTCAGGATGTCATTCAAGGGTCAACTATATTTAAAAAGCTAATCCCAGATAATTATTAAATATATCTCAGCCGGGCTCGGTGGCTCAGCCTGTAATCCCATGCCTTTGGGAGGCTGAGGTGAGTGGATTGCCAGAGCCCGAGGGTTCGAGACCCGCCTGGG